GGCTTCTCCATCAGCTCCTGGTGTGGGAGGAGGGCTGGAGAGCGGGGTCCGGGCTGCTCAGGAGCCCGGTGATGAGGAGCGTGGGGGAAAGACGCAGCGGGCTTGGAGTCCCTGCGATAGGGCTGCTCTTGGCTGGCAGACCGGTTTTCCGCAGGGAAACCCAGGAGAGCAGCGAACAGAGGACAGTTTCCTTCTTTCGCTGACAGTCAGTCATGCTGACTGTGGTGTGCCTGCTAGTTCCCCACACACACCACCACATCTATTGTGGTGATGCTGCTGTCCTCCCCACCATGAAGTCTTGCAACCAGCAGGCGACTCCTGCTCTCTCTTCACTCATCCAAGAGGTGTCTAAATGCTGGTGAGTTTTTCCTAGCACGTATCCAAAACTTAACCTTTTCCTTGGGTTAGCAGCAAGCAGCTCTGTTTGACTCTGTACAGAATTTTTCTGCTCCTGCTTTTACTCACTGGCCTCTTCAGCACGCACAGAGCCTGCTCCAGCTCCTTTAAATCACCAGCTAAAATCCTCTTCTTGACCCTCTCCGCTGAACCCTTCTGCCTGCAGCTCCCGCACTGCAGCGAGTTTAATGCCTGTGTCCTTGCTTTCAGGACCCTGCCTTGCTGCTTTGCTCCCCTCGTGTTGGACCCGCCGGCTCCTCCCTGACCTCCAGCCCTGCTCTGTGGCCCCGCTGCTGGCTCAGGCCCTTTCGTGTCTCTTCCCCAGCCGTCACCCGCAGGCTGTGCTTTAAGATGGACTCAGACCGAGGTGAGCAGCGGGGCAGGGCTGCAGCTGCACCCATCGCGCTTTCCCCATCCTGGTTCCCTGCCTGCCCTTCGCTCTCATGAGGAGGATGACTGCAGCGCTTGCTCCAAGGAAGCAAAACACAACAAAACATTTTTCAGCAAAACCTGCAGGCGGAAACATGCCTTCCAAGCCTTACAGTCCAGCTCGCCACGGCTTTTCTTTCTGCCCTACTCTGTGGCAATAGCTCGAACCCAGCACGTTGGGCTCCTTAGGGCAAGGGCTGGCTGGCTGTCCGCAAAGCCTCCAGCACGCTCCCAACAACCGCTTCACGTTCCTTGGCGTGGGAGCAGGGCAGCGTGAGGCCTCATGCGTGGAAGGCAGATGTTGTTAAATTAGAGGGGAAGAGTCTGAAGTAAAGCACAGCTCAGTGGCTATCCAGATGGTGGAACTTCATGCCTTCACCGTCGCATGCAAAATGGCTGTTGTATTTTTAGTATGACTTCCTCGGCTCGCCGGGGCGGATCGTGGCGGCCGCGCTCGCTGCGTTCTCGTTGCTGCTTTGAGCTTCGTTTCCTGTTCGATTGTTCCCTTAATCGAAAGAAAATGAACCCCGGTCCAGGTCCCTTACCGAGTGTGATCTGCGTCAAAGTTAGAGCGCTGGTGTAGCTTTGGAAAAGCAGGAACACGGGGGCCTGATTCACCCAGGACTTCGAGGAGAGAGGTGGATCAAGCTCCTCAGGTAAACGCAACAACAGCTGAGGTTGATTCATGCAAATCAGAGTTTTCATTTAATGTGAGACCCTCCCGTCTGAGATGGGAGGGCAGGCTGACATGACACTGCAACAGTGTTTGGGGAATGAAAAGGGCGTATCTGCGGCGTGTGTGTGCCCGGGCGTGCTCAGGCGTGTTCTCCTGGCGGAATACGCGTCTTGTACCCGCACTTTCATGAGGCTTCCAGCAGCCCAAGGAACCTGCGAGAGCAACGTCTGTCACGACAGAAACCACTTTCAGGACAGAAGACTGCTTGGCTGGAAGGTCTGTATTGCGCATTGTTAGTTTAGAGCCTTCTGAACTGTTGTCCTAGAGTTTCAGGAACAAACTTTTAATAAATGTAATAAATCAATCTGAGAATACTGAGCTTCAAAAGCGCTGGTTTTGAATGAAAAGGAGATACAGCCTTGGTAGGATGTAGGCAAAAAGCTTAGCTGAAGTCCCATTCACTGAAACGGCATTTAGTAGTGGAAATGTACCGAAATCTTGGAAGTTCAGAGATTAACTCCAGTGGCGTGTATTTGATAGAAGCAGGTATCTGGAGGTGTTTAAAACCCAGATGGCATTTACACTGCTGATGCATTTTGTAGTGAATGTGCTCTTTGTTTTTTTCCCTCAGAAGGGAAGACAAGCCCAAGGGCTGCAGCCGGGGATGGGCACAGCCAGCAAACCCCCCTCCAACAGCGCCAAAGCCCAGGGCAGCGAGGGGACGTTCCCAGGGCCACCAGCGGGACCGCTGACGAGGGGCTGTCACGGGAAGGGAACCCGGGCCACTGCCCATGCTGTCGGGACGGGGGCTGCTGGGCAGCGAGGAACCAGACCCTTCGTCAGACGCTGAGCACCCCACGGAGCAGAGACCTAGGTGGCTGTCTCTTAAAAGTGAAAAGCAAATCCAGAGTGGTCAAAAGGCCCTGAAAGCCAGCGAGAATTGCAAATAGGGATTGAAAGCTAAAGAGAAAAATCTTAATTAGATCTCCTCCAACCTGTAGAGGAACACATTTGGATTAAAATGAAATGGAGCTTTGTACTCTCAGGGTTTCATAGCAAGAATGGAAGAGAAATTATTCACTTTTGCTATTTGTGAAGCTGGATTGCTTTTTCTGTGAACTTGTCTTTTTAACTTCTCACCTTGTCAGAAAATTGTGAAAAGCTGCTGGGATGGTGTATTTGGGGTAGTTCTTATCGCAGCATGTCGCAGAACCATTTCCATGGTTTCAGAACACGGCAGAGTCTCCTGTTTAATCCTACCCTCCCCAAGTTAACTCCTTTCCTCTTGTGGCAAGCCAGCCTGCCCACCATTTGCTAACCTGCCTTATATTTCACTACTGTCGATATTTTCTTTGTGAATATCTATCAATATTTAATACAGTGGTGTCAGTTTTGCTGTAAGATGAGAGGCACTACTAGAAACCTTGAATTATACATTGTGTGGCTGGGGGAGGCTGGGGAGAGTTTTCTTTCGGACCCGAAGCTCTTGGAGTTGATCTCCAGGACCTGCAGCTTGAAGTCCTACTAATGGATGAGCACCAGAAGAAACTCAACCAGCGGCACGAGGGGAGGCCCCGCAAAGTGAGGTTCAAAATATCATCAGCTTACAGTGGTCGAGTGTTAAAACAAGTCTACGAAGACGGGCAGGAGCTCGAGCCCCCAGCCAAGGAGCACTCTCGGCGCTTTCTCCGCCACAACTTTGAGGGGTCCTTTTCGGTGGGGCTGGGAACCCGCCAGAAGACAGGCTTCACTCGCCAGCCAAGCTGACTGCCCAGCGGATCAGCATATTCCAAGCGGAGGAGCAGTACGGCCTCACCAGCAGCTCGCCCCTCCGCAGCGACCACCCGCCGAGCGACAGCCTCTGCAGGGTAAGCGATGTCCAGCCTTGGGCTGCCAAACGGTTTGGAAACCACCTGCAGACCAAACTGTTTTTATATCGTAATGTGGTAACGGGAGTCTCCAGCTGGAACCTCATTCAGATCCAACTCAGTTTTGTCAGGCCAGGGCTTTAAAAGGGTGATTGTGAATCTCCAGCTTTTACTCTGCAAATTCTGCTTTCTGCTGACTCTGCAAAGGACGGGAGCCGCGTGTTTTGCCGCAGCGCAGCCAGCGAGCAGCGTCTGCTAGCTGCGCTCCATCTTCTCACCGGGTTGATTTGCATCTGCCCATTTTGTAGGGTAGCATTTCCATATATATCAGTATCTATACATAGTAATCCTAACGCATCTAAAGCAGTCAAATGTAAGGTGGATATTATCTTAATTAGTTGTATTTAAAACATTAAAGTTGCGTGAGTTCAGCTGGCAAAAATGTTAGTGCCACCAGCAGCGCAGCAGCGAGCCCCCGCGCCAGGCATCCACACCCTCGGGCAAGCCAGAGCTCCCCTTCGGCGACGTTGAAAATCCCAGCTGAGTTTCGCTGGGAATTTCGTTAACATATAATTAACGCCAGTGATACAGAAGTGTCTCTTCAGTCCTAATAAAAAGCCAGCACATTAACGTATGTTAGATTGATTAATACACAGGGTTTATGTTCATTTTCTTACCCTGTTGAATTAGCTCTCTGTATCTCTTGCTGCTCTTTGGTTTTATCAAATTCAGATGCACCCACTAAACAACTCCTGTAACCACAATGGCACGTGGGTGCTACTGATAGCACAGCCACGTCACACCGATACGCAGACTCTAAATGGGGTTTGTTATACTGATATCATCAGCTTGAGGTGAGTCTGCTCAGAGAAAAGATGATAAAAAGGAAGGCGGCGTGAGGTAAGCTGGCCTGCTGGATCGGGACCAGGCCCTTCCCTGGGAGACGGCTCGACCCAGCCCAGCTCAGACTGAACGACCAGCAGTTGGCATCAACAAACGAGTCGGTGGTCACCCAGTTGCCCCCCCCAGCCCCCGCCCCTGCCGCGCCTGCTCGGTGCTTGCAGGAGGCTCACGACCGAGTCTGTCTCTGGAGAGCAACGGGAGCTCACCCCAGCGCCCCGGCCACTGCGACACAACGAAAGTTGTGTGGCTTCTGGGTAAATGAGGAATGTCACTCCGGCACTTACACCACTAGGGAGACTGAGGTGCTTTAAAAAGTATGAAATGCTTTTTACGGCCTTGATCAGAATGCGTTACAAGTCCATTAATTCTTGGTGCTAAGCAAATTGTGTGTTGGAAACCCAGATGGCTGATACTTGGACGGTATTTAGTTGATACACCGGGCATCTAGTATAACTGAAAATATCAAACCACGATGAATCTCTCCTGCATAAAGACAGAGCACTAACGTGATCTTATCCACGCCATTAATTTGTTCTGCATTCTTGGGTAACGCCCATTGCTATTCCCTAGTTTCCCTGACCACAAATACCTTGAGTAATCACGCTATCCAGTACCAGGTTTGTTTTGTATCAACATGCATTCGGTATTTGGAGACACCGTGTCCGTGTAACAACGTGAGGCTTTGGAGCCTTCGGCACACGGTACGGGCTCGTGTGTCTGTAACGACACCACAAAACCAGCCGAGCAGGCGACCGGGACGCTCT